ACTTTGTTATTTCGCGAATTTTTTTTAACAGCGAAAAGTCCTTCGACGTCAACAAACGTAGAAGAGAGAGAGAAAAAAAAAAGGACGTTGACTGTCCCAGATTCGAACGTCCCCCCGCCCGGTCTTATCTTCGCTCTAAAACCGTGAATATTTGTGTTTACTATTGATAACGAGTTTTTTTTTTAAAAATCAGGCTGAAAAGTAACAGTACTCCATGGAAATTCGCATGTTTCTTACTGTCGGCGCGCATAAATCGCGCGGTCAACGATCCCAAATGTTTTCCAAAGTCGACTACGACGACGAAGAAACGGAGGAGGATATAAGAACATTATCGAAACGTTGCGACGCAATTAGAAACAATAAACAAAAAAAATTGGGTGAAAACAAAACGGTTTCTTGTTTGTTTGCTCCAGTCGATTGTTTTCGACGCAATTTGTTTGTTTTTTTCGTTACCTAGAAACCAAGTGAAGAGAATGAGTTAGAGAGATGTTGATTAATATAGCCGAAAGGCGAATCGAAAATAAAATCGGCCAACTGACTTACGTTTTCATCCGCAACATAATAATAATTGTTGGTTTGATGATGATGTTGTTGATGCAATTAAGTAATGGTTATTAGCGCGCAACAAGAATTAAGTTCAAATTCAAGAGTTAAGACGATGACTCAATTGGTATTTCCCCTATTGTGTCTTCATCATTGGATTCTCGTTTAAAAATGCGTTCAGGTCCATAAAATTTATTGGTTTATTGCTGTTGTGTGTGTGCAAATAGAATGTTTGGGTCAATAAATGCGACATCATCGTGTTGATCGAACGTGAAAAGAAGTTTCGATTTATGCCGTTCATAAAACCATAAATAACACCCGAGTTTAACTGAGCGTTTCCTCAACGCATAAAGCCATGCGTATTGTTGACGCGAAGGTTCAATGATCACCAACAAAAAGTTTACAAAAGGTTTCGGTCGGAAATTCGTAGGGTTTTAGGTAAAAAAAAAAAATATGTATTAAGTAGTGTTGCGTTCCGGGTACAGAAAAACCGAGCGGATTTCACGGCATTGAGGAGCGTCTAAACGTCTTCACGCTTTAAAAACTTCTATTTTTTCGTGGAAAGATCTCAGGTTTTTATTGAGGTTTTCATTTGGTGTCGACCCTAAAGTCATTTGCGGCTGAAAAGTCGTCAATGTTTCGGTCTTGGATCATCCGTGAACGAAAGAATTCGCAATTAAAACGTTATTGATATGCGCGAGTTCGTTATGCAATGGAAGTTCTAAGGTTCGCGCGTTCGAGGCGATCCCGTAACTTTCCGAGAACTCGCAACGACCTCTCTCTCTCTCTCTCTGCTTCCTTCTTCCTTCGAGCATATTTACTTCTTCATTTGCGAGTGTTGAACTCTCCGCTCGGTTCATTGTTTCAATCGCGTCATCATCATCCAAGTTCAAGGAAACCCCATGACGATCTTATTTACCATGAACATATCTTCATGGTCGTTCGAAGAATCTCAAAAAAAAACTAAATTTTTGCCGAACAATTAATTCCTCGACTGCTTTATTCCGGCCAGATCTAACTGACTAATATAAGATCGCGCGTTGAATAATTCATTCGCGAATTCTAATTGTTACGTAAACATCTATACATTATTTTCGTTGTCAATAACCTCGGGGCAAAAGGCGGAAGCCACAGAAACGTGCGCGCGTTTATCATTTCAACGAGAAGTGGATGATTCTTGCGACCATCTTTTGGGTGGAAGACCAGATGGTCTAATTACCATCACACAAGTGTCTGCAGATAGAAACCCTCATCGTTTCATCCCTTTTCTTCTACCCTCAAATCTCATCGAGTTATTATGTTTTTTTTCCCTCTAAATTCCTTTCTTCTTTTTTTGTTGTTGTCAGAGAGGCACGTGTGTGTCTCTGTGTGCGCTTCCTCAAATAAAACCGAAAATCTAGCCTCAGGTCAAAGAACGTGGAGATCCGGAAACGATCCTCTCGCATTACACTTTCTTTCTTTCTTTCTTTCTTTACACACACTCACTCACGAAGCGAACGCATGCATATGTAATAATAAACACGAAGATGAAGTAATAGAATATAATAAAAAAAAAACATTACAAATAGAAAAGTGCACGCGTGTTGGATTTATTTCCTGCTTGTTGTTAAAAAAAAAATGGGAGAAGATGCTCTCGAACCTTTTCCAGTCGCACGCGCGCTCGCGCCCAATTTTATTGCTTTATAACTCTCGCAATAATAATCCCCCAATAAATTACGTTTTTTCTATTCAATAATACCGTTTTCTCTTTTTCCGTCCATCGAAAAAGTGGCAATATAAACATAACGTAACAATTTATTGCTTTCCCTCCCTTTTTTTTTTTTGGGGGGTCAAAATGTTTCCTCGGACAATACGATTGCAATTTGTCCTAACGGTTTTTGTGTGTCGCAAAAAAAAAAACGTGTTTATCTATGCCAAATTACCAATTTATATGTTATCTACAAAGTGTTAATGTTAACACTAGACAAAAGCGAACGTTAATGAGTAGAAAAGTTCAAGAACCTCCAATCACAGATTAAGAAAATTTTGATAAAATACAATTTTTCTTAAATCTTAACTGCAAATGTTTTAATAGGTTTTCGTGAAGAATTGTTTAAATTGGGACACTAAACATCGTGTCCCAATTTAAACAATTCAATAGGGAGAGGAGGAAGTCGTTTCTAAAAATGGGACAAGCAAAAGTTGAATGAATGAATGTGGAAAAATGTTCTAAAAATAATATATATTATCGAGAGAAAATAGGTGTTTGCGACGGATAAGGAGATGAGTGGAACACGTTCTTTGTACCCGGAATTGTTTTTTTTTCTTGTTGTTGTTTGTTGTTCTTGAGTAAATTATTAAAAAAAAAAAACCAAATTTCTCAAGGCCGACAAATTAGTATTAGATCTAGAGTGTGCGTGTGTTTATGAAGGAGTTGGCGGTGAACGAGGGGGAGTTCAATGCCGCCGCTCTTTTGTTGTTCCTGGGTCGCCGACTGACCGTGGCCGTTGCCGAGGAGAGAGAAGCGAAAATTTTCTCTCTTCCTCTTCGTCGAGAGCGTCTCACTTTTCGCGAGTTTCTGTACCTCTGGGGTAAGTGACTCTGCATGACCTCGGAGACGTTGCCCATGATCATCATCAACATCGTCGTCGTCGCATTATTGTGCATATGGGATGGAGAGAGAGATTCTTCGGTGTTGGTGGCCTCTGGAGTGCGTCGATCGCGCGCGGCGCTAGGTCACTGGCCCGAAGAAACCTCATCATCATCATGATAATCGCAATCAAATTTGATGATGATTTAACGTAACAATACGAATGTTTATGTTTTTCTTTTTTCGCGAATGTTTTGTTGGTCCTTCTTGTCTCTCTCTCGGTTCACTTTTGCCTCGGCGCCGGCATTTTTCGGCCGCAAGTGAAAGGATTTTTTCGGGTCCGGATTTTTCGGCTCGTCCTTCTCTTTTACTCTCTCGCGCGCGCGCGCTCGTTCGCTGTTTCGTCTCGCTCTTCGGTGCGTTGGCACGCAGAGGTTTTGTATTTTTTAATGACGACGACGACGAAGAAGAAGGATGGATTGTGTCGATCGGAGGTCGTCCTTGGCCGCGCGCTGCACGCTTGTCTGGGTAATTCAGTCAAGGTTTGCGTTCAATGAACTTGACTCGATGTCGATGGGAATCGGAATCCGCGCGCGCTCCCCACCACCAACACCACGACATCACCATGTGCTTTTCTTGCTCTTCGTCCTCGTCGGCGTCGTCGTCCATCGGATGTGTGGGGGGGGGACCGCCCTCCGCGAACTTGACGACCAATGCGAGAGAGCGGTTCGATCCGCTCGAACCGCCCCGCCTTGGCGATGACCTCCAACTTGAAAATACGATGAACCCGACGTATCATGCATGCATGCATGCATGCATTGGGGGGGCCTTTTGCTAAAAAAAAAACGAAACGAAACGAAGAATGAAAAAAAAAAAATTTTGCTGCTTAGGAGGAGAGAAAACCCTGAATCCGAAGCGAGTGAAACAAGCGAAAAAGCGCCTCTCCCCCCCCCATTCCAACGCCGCCTCCACCGCGCGCTCCCCCACTTGTTGAACGGCTCAAAAACAGTCGGCACGGTCGAGAATCGCCCGCCGCCCTTCAGGTAGTCCGTAAAGTCCTTATTTACTATTACACCGGACTCTTCGAGAGCCCAGTTCGTATCGGGACTTTCACTCTCACCAGATCCTCCGCACAGGAAGGTTCTTCTTCAGCGTGTGTGTTCTTGCTCAAACGAAAAGTGATACACTCAACACTACAAACGACAACCATCAACAACAGCAACAACAACCAAGTGCTATGTTCGCAAAAAGTGTTTCCGCTCCAATTGGATAAGATTTAAGGATAACGACAGATTTCGCGAATTTAATTCTATTTAATTTATACTCGTGTGTGCGCCCAATTTGCCAAGTGAAAATGATTCTTTCGCCGGACAGCAGCACCCTCCATCACGGGGTCGCTCCCACGCCGGAATCCACGTACACGGACATCACGTCCTCGACGCACATAAGGGAACCAACCCTGAATCTAGGTACCCATTCTTTTTCTCTTTTTTTTTTCAACAAAAACAATCGAGTTGTTACGCAACCGGCGCGAGAGATGCGCTCAACTCAACTCGCCGGTATACTTTCACCCAAAACTATTAAGTAATTCTCTCGGCGATGAAGGAGAAAGTGCTTTCCGACCGGCTTTCTTCCGAGCATTTCTCTCTCCTCTCTCCCGATCATCGCATCGCATCGCAACAATTACGAATCGCGCACAATGCAAACGAAACGCAGCAAAACTTATTTCATTTCATCTCAACCGCATTCACTTTTACTTTTTATCTTTATAAATTTCACTTTAGAAATTGACGACAATCTAAAAGAAAAAAACAAAAAAACAAACTAATAACTATTTCAAATAGTTAGTAAACTATTAGTAAATTAAATTTTCTTTCTTTTTTTGCAGAATTCGATGGAACCACAGTGCTGTGCCGTGTCTGCGGCGATAAAGCATCAGGATTTCATTACGGCGTTCATTCGTGCGAAGGATGCAAGGTAAGTGCCTAAAAAAAAAAAACAATCGCCGAAATCAAGGGTGATTTGATTCGAAGTCACCTCGATATTTGCCATCAGTAAATGTTACGGCAGCGAAAAATTTGCACCATTAAAAAAACTTATATTTTCGTCGTAGGATTATGTAATGTAGAGTGCGTAATATACAAGTGATTTGTATGTAGGAGATGTATGAGAATGTACGCGAATATGTAATGGTTTATCCTTGATGGAAGTTAAACCAGGAAGTCGTCGAGTCGAAAATTAAATTAAACTTAAAAACAACCTTCGATTCGCGCAGCCTTCACCTTACCGAAAAATAAATCCGGAAGTCGTATTCAAATTCGTACATTAGAACGCGCGCGCTTTTTTTTTTTGTTTTCGTCCTCTCATTTGTTTTTTTTTTCAATATTAAATCAAGTGTGCTGTATAGGTCGTTCGTTAAATACGTTCTTGGGAATTAAAGCCCGGAAATGACTTTTCTCTCTCTCTCTCTCTCTCTTAACTTCCGAAAACCTTGCTTTCATTTTTTTTTTAAATTTCGACGGTCAAATTTGATCTTTTAATATATATATAGAATTTCTTGAGTTTCGTACAAACAATTGTTCTCGTCCGTTGTTCCTCATTTACCTGAGCGCGTGTGCTGCGGCGCAAAAAAAAAAATAATTGAAGGTTGAAGGTCGGTTGTTCGTAAATGTCAATGTCCGATGCGATGGTCTACCGCGATAAAAAAAACAACTTTTTTACTTTTTTGTTTTAAATTAATTTCTTAAGATATTTACCAATTTCAATGATATTACATATTATATGATGTAATAGAGAAAGAGAAAAAAAAGTAAGAGTTTCTTTGTTGTTGGGTTTAAATTTGCGGGCGGATATTTACGTCCGTCGTCTACCTGACGGTGCGTATCCACCACCTGCGCTTTTTCACTTTCATTCGCACCCCTTTTTTTTTTTTTCCTCGACGTTCGAACCATTTTGATGCAATCCTTCTTTATTTGCGAAAGCAGATGGTTTACTTTATATACCTGAAATTTCTTCAACCATTTCCTACCCTTTTTTTTTTCTTTTTTTTTGTTTGCTGTTTACTTCCTTTTTTTTTGCTATTGCGCCGCAAATCTTTGAACCCCTTTTTGCGTGCGATCTGGGTCGAACCATAGGAATTGGGTCACCCATTATTGGGGGTGTCCACAATGTAAAAGGGATTGACGAAATCGCTTCAGCCGTGGATGGATGGTGGTGGTGGTGGGGATTTTCGCGGTTCGAGGGGAAGTCCCCGAGTTCAGTGGACTCTGAGGTTGCGGGCGCGTTGCGCGAGGTGGCGCTGCGAGCGGACGGCGCGAGCCGGCGGCGACGCCGGTGAACGACCTGAGCGACGACAGCGCCGTCGCTCGGAATCCGGCAGTGCTTACTTAACGGGATCTTGCGGTTACTGCACTTCTAACTATAGCGTGTGTTGCGGAAATGCACATCATTCAAAAACCCGCGATATTTATGCAAATCGCAGCAAGCACGTTGCTCCTGCACCACCACCACCATCACCACCGTCGCCATCGCAACAGCTACCACACAGCCACCTTCGATTCAAACAAGAAATCTAAACAAACAAGCGAAGATAAAAAACAATGGCTATAAATAATTTACAATAAAAGAAAAAAAAGAAAAATTGCAGCACCTGCGAATGCATGATAACGCGCAGAGTTCATTCAATCCTCGTTTCTTCTTCCACTATTCCGTTCTTCCTTTCCTTTGTGTTTGTGTGTCGTTCGTTCGTTGTTGAGTCAGCGTCTTCTAGAACGTTCCTCGAAGGGTGATTGACACCGTGCGCATAGGAGTTCATTTCGAAAATGCATTCAATTTAGTTTGCAGTCAAATCTTAATAAACTTCTTCTGGTTCGTTGACCCGCCCTCACTCACTCATTTATTATTCGCATTGTCCATCAATTGTCCGAATCTCGGACAAGCAGTGAACTCTAAAATTATTATATTCAGATGGAAACGTTGAGTTTTATTTTCGTTCTACCCGAAAGCTGTTGACCCGAACCTCATTTTCGCTTTTACAAACAAACAAAAAAAAAACCTCTATTTTCGAAATTTAGTTATTCTTTAATTTCATAATCATTTTATTTATAACTCGCAACAAAAATAACTTCTGAATTACTCAGTTCACTATTAGTTCTTCATTATCGTAGTTCTTCATTGATAACGTTTTTTTCGATAATTAGTGAATGAACGAATTTTTATAGCCTTGTTTGTTGTTTCTCTTTTTTTTTACCAACTCGATCAAATTATTTGTTTGTAATTTTTTTTAACTCTTTCTCTTTGATAACCCTTTGACTTTTCCGAGTCATTGAACTGAAGGAATCACCGAGAACTAACAACAACAGTTACTAATTACGTTTTCGATAATTCGTTTTTGTTCACTTTGACAAATTTGCTTTGTTAATTGTTACACAACCGAAATTTAAATTAACCTAAATTCGTTTTTTTCTAATATAATGTTGTTTCTGTTAAAAATAAATAAATAATAAGTAGTGTGCTGTGAAGGAAGGAGATTGCGGCGATGTGGTGGTGGTGGTAATTGGGTCTGTTTGTGTAATGGTAGTAGTAGTTCGAGAGATAAAAATATTCAGGCCAATTGTCCTAAATAGTGAACTTTGTAATACGGGAATGTATAGTAACGGACAATGAACCCGAAGTTAACAACGCTTGCGCTCACATAACTCGCGAACTCCCCTACTCTCCACACACACACACACACACACACACATAACGAGAGTACGACAACCTACATTTGCGGCCGATGACCTCAGACTACTAGACTATCTTATTGAAAAACAAAAGCGAAATGCATATATACAATATTGCTGTACCGCAGTAGTCTGTGCATTCTTTTTTTTTTTTGGAGAGATCATTTGTTTTATCTTCCCTTTTGATGATTGTTAGGACTCTTTCTTTTTTCTTTTCATTATCTTATATATATATTTCGGGATTCGCGCCTCTTCCGACTCCTCCGTTGTGCGACTATTTTGACCGAGATCCACTGGGTTCGTCGTACCTCACTGACCTTAGAATGTGGGTGCCTCGGAGTGCAGTTTTATTGCCCTGCGCGCGCTAAAACCTCCCAGCTCCTCTCCTCACCGCCACTGACCACCTCAATCCTCCTCCTCCTTCTTCTCCTCTTCATAAACATCATTATCATAGGCGCCCTTCGAAGGGTTCATTCACCTCTTCGAGTATTACGACTCACTGAATTGTCTATTTTGGGTCATATATCTTTGATTAGCAAAAATAAAAAACATCAACAACAACAACAAAAAAAATAGTTTAAAAATGACCTAAAAGTGGGTCAACGAAACAACAAACAACGAGCGAGAGGTCTTTGACTTTGCTTCGCTTTTATTATTGTATTTCATACAATTTTCATGGAAACACATATTTGCGTGCGTGGGTCGATGAACTCGCGTCTGTTATGATCCAAGGGTTGCTCGAATATTGACCTATTTAGAGAGTCGCCGCCGCCTTCTTCTCTTTTTTCTCTCATTGTTTGTTGTTAGTTGGAATCATCGTAATAATAATAATAACGATCGTCGTAATAATAATAATTATTATTATATATTCTCTCGATGATTTTGAAATGAAATTGGGGTTCCGTCGAGTGGGAGAGAAACTCTCACTTTCACGGAGTGAACTGGCCTCGCGAGGAGGCAGCACTTCGGCGGGTGAACAACCGAGAACTGGGTCAGCTGGCGAACTGCTGGTGAACTCGGCTGGGTAGGTTCAGTGTTCTCTTGGATATCAAATCGAGTAGACGTGTGTGTGCTGCTACTACTACCGCTGCCGCTATTACTATATTGCCGCCGTCGTCGTAGTTGCTCCACTTTGTAGCTTCTATTGCTAGAACGAACACTACTACAACTACAGTATATATAAACGTACTTGTACAGCTGCTCTACAACTACTACATAACAGTGTGTTTTTAGTTCAGTTCTGTAGTGTGCGCATTGAAACAACGACAAGACAAACATGGATTACGCGATTTGATTGAGTGCAAATTTTTCGCTAAATTATATAATTGTTGATAATTGAAACTGATAATTGATAAAAAAATGATGGCAGTGTTGAGGTGTAATCAGGAGGAGCAGCAGCAGACTCTGACGATCTCCCCTGACAGTGATAGTGACGATTGCGTTCAAAACGAGTGTTGTTCTTGTCCTTCGCAGGGCTTCTTCAGACGCAGCATCCAGCAGAAGATTCAGTACCGTCCGTGCACCAAGAATCAGCAGTGCGCGATCCTGCGCATCAACAGGAACCGTTGCCAATATTGCAGGCTGAAGAAGTGCATCGCCGTTGGAATGAGCAGAGATGGTGAGTACTTTCAATTAGTAAATTAAATTAGAGAATATTACATGTACAGAGAGATTTATATAGATTTATACATTCGAAAGTTTGCAAAAGTTGCGTAAGTCCGAAGCGAAAACCGTGTTGAGGTCGGCCGCTGTTTTGAACCCGCGCGTTCGTTGTCCCACATTCCCCAGCTTTTTACGCAAGCCACGAGGAGAGGTCGGACTCTCGACTACTCTTTCTATCTCTTTCTCTCTCTCTCTCACTTACGCGCAACATAAGAAATCAACAACAAGAAATAAATTTGTAAGAAACAACGATCATCATCACTTTTACTTTTTTAAGGTGAGAGAGAGAGAGAGAGAGAAAAGAAAGTTCTCTCGATCGTTGTTGTTGTTGTTGCAACCATCACCAATGAAGAAAGTTTCGAAAGTTTCGTAATTCGTAAAGTGAAATTGCGCGCGCGCGCGCGCTCTTCGCCTACTCGATCGCTTTTTTTTTTTCTTCCTTTCTCGGGGTCGTTGAACGCGCGCGCGCTCGCTCCGCGGATCGCGCGTGTCGCCGCCTGGCGTCGCGACGCTAAACTCACTGCGCGACCGACGCCTGCGCCGCGAACTTTCGGACGCGCGCCTTTTGGGTCAACACCCCCGCAGGTCAATTTCGCCCGTGAGCAAAATCGATGGTTCAACCCTTCGCAAATTATTACAATTCTCTTTTGTTTTTCATTACTTAATCAATTCATTATCAAGTAGTCGTGATTTATATACTTTAAATTGTTTTTGTTTTGAGGCCGCCTACTCTTAATTAAATTTATTCATTTAATTGTTATTTTTATTCGCGTTCTTCTCTTTTTTTGTGAACGTCCTCTTTCTTCATCCATATATATCTGTGTGTGCGGACGGCGGCGCTAAGCGTCAAGTTCAAGGGTGTTTGGTGGGGAAGGTTTTCGGTTCGGAAATGGGAGGGGACTCTCGGAATTGGGGTGGGGGGGATCTCTCGTGACCGTGGAAGTCGCGGCGCGCGTTTGTCGTTCGCGCCACTACAGTCGGGAATGCTAGGTCGTGAGCTTCGCAGCCCGACTTTGTTCTTAACGTTCTCCATCCGCACATATACACACTACACACGCTCGCTCTCTCCGCTGATCCACTCGCTCTCCTCCTATCTTCTTTTTCTCCTGCTATCGTTATCATTGTACACGTACTGAAAGAGAGAGAGAGAGAAGTAGTTGATAGTTTAGTTAGTTAGTTTGCAAATGCGAGAGGTGAAAGTTTACAATTGTGCGCGCAAAAATGGGTGAAGAATTACCCATACTGAAGGGCATCCTCAACGGAGTTGTCAAATACCATAACGCACGTACGTTGTTCACACTTTCAAATTTCAAAAGTTTTCAAAAAAAAATTATTTTTGTTGTTTGTGACAAAGTTTTTTAAATTTCGAATTTTCGTTTTTGTTACAGCCGTGAGATTCGGAAGGGTGCCGAAGAGGGAGAAGGCTCGCATCTTGGCAGCGATGCAACAAAGTTCCAACTCCAGATCTCTCGAGAAGGCCATCTCCGCGGAGTTGGAGGATGATCAGAGGTTGCTCTCGACGATCATCAGGGCGCACATCGACACCTGCGATTACACCAGGGATAAAGTCGAACCGATGCTCACTCGTGCCCGTGAGCAGCCCTCCTACACAGCCTGTCCGCCGACTCTGGTAAGTCGATTGCGAAGAATTGCGAGAATTTCGTTGCTAATTTTCGTCTTTTTCTTTCTTTGCGTATCTGCAGGCGTGTCCTTTGAATCCAAACCCGCAACCGTTGACCGGTCAGCAGGAGCTGCTGCAGGACTTCTCGAAGCGCTTCTCACCTGCGATCCGAGGTGTCGTCGAGTTCGCGAAGAGGATTCCCGGTTTCTCGCTGCTCGCCCAGGACGATCAGGTGACGCTCCTGAAGGCCGGTGTTTTTGAAGTGCTGCTCGTCCGTCTGGCGTGCATGTTCGACTCGCAGACGGCGAGCATGATCTGTTTGAATGGACAAGTGTTGAAACGTGACTCGATCCACAACAGTTCGAACGCGCGCTTCCTCATGGACTCGATGTTCGATTTCGCGGAGCGAATGAACGCGCTGTGTTTGTCCGACGCCGAGGTCGGCCTCTTCTGCTCGGTGGTCGTCATCGCCGCCGATAGACCGGGACTGAGGAACACCGAGCTCATCGAGAAGATGCACGGGAAGCTGAAGCACGCCCTGCAGATGGTCGTCGCGCAGAATCATCCCGGACAACCGGACATCGTGCACGAGCTGATGAAGAAGGTGCCGGATCTGCGCACGCTGAACACGTTGCACTCTGAGAAGCTGTTGGCGTTCAAGATGACCGAGCAACAGCAGATGATGCAGCAACAGCAACAGCAGCAACAGTCGTGGAGTTCGCCCGGGGAAGAGGAGAGCAGCAGCAAGAGTCCGGCCGCTTCGTCGTGGTCATCATCATCAGATGTCACGATGGACGAGGCGAAGAGTCCGCTTGGATCGGTCTCGAGCACGGAATCGATGTGCTCCGGTGAGATGACAGCGATGAGCGATTACCACCATCATCATCATCATCATCATCACCTTCATCACAACGTCAGCCCGAACGTGAACAACGCTCCGCTTCTTGCGGCCACTCTGCAAGGAGGCATGTGCCCGCACAGACACAGGGCCAACTCCGGCTCGACGTCGTCCGGTGACGATGAGCTCGCCGCGACCTCGCATCTCATCCACAACGGTCTCACGATCACCCCGGTGTCGAGGCCGACGAACTCTCATCCGCGCTTCAGGAAGCTGGACTCGCCGAGCGATTCCGGCATCGAGTCCGGCACGGAGAAGATCGACAAAGTCAGTGCGCCGACGTCTCTGTGCTCGAGCCCGCGCTCCTCCGTCGAGGATCACCACATCGTCGAAGATATGCCGGTGCTGAAGCGCGTTCTGCAAGCGCCTCCGCTGTACGACACCAACTCTCTGATGGACGAGGCCTACAAACCGCATAAGAAGTTCCGCGCCCTCCGCAACAACAAGGATTCGGCGGAAGCGGAACCGATGATCGTGCTGTCGCCGCAGCCGCAGCAGCAGCAACAATCTCAGCTGCACATGCAACTGACGGCGCCGCCACAGTCGACGCTGTCGAGCACGCATTCGACGCTCGCCAAATCGCTGATGGAGGGTCCCAGGATGACGGCGGAGCAGATGAAACGCACCGACATCATCCACAACTACATCATGAGGAACGAGAGTTCGCCGCACGTCTCCGCAGCCCCAACGGCGTGTCCCTACAAGAGCAGTCACCATGCAGCAGCAGCAGGAAGTCTTCTGCAGCCCGCTTGGGCGACCAGCGTCATCACCACCACCTCCCGCCAATCGCATCTCCTGAGCACGAGTCACACGCCGCCTCCGCCGCAGCCGGACTTCTCACGGATATACCTGCAGTCGCCGCACTCCACGTCTCCGGCCAGATCACCCGCCACCTCCCCGACGTCCACACTTCTCACGACGACGACGACATCGTCGTTACCGAAGCTGATGGAACTGCAGGTCGACATCGCCGACTCGCAGCAGCCGTTGAACCTCTCCAAAAAGTCACCGTCACCGTCCCCGCGCCCCCTAAAAGTGGTCACATTAGAAGTGTAAATACATATATATATATAACAAAACAAAACAACAAAAAAAAACAACAACAACAAACAAACAAAAACGAGTACAAAGTAAAAGGTGGAAGATGCACGAAAAAACGGACATTCGACGAAGAGCATCAACTTCGTCAAAGTTTTCGCAACCTCCGACCTTCCCCCTCAAACCCCCACAAAAAATCGGATTATTTTTTTTTTTTTTGCAAGTGATCAGTGCTACAAAAACAAAACAAAAATGGGACACTCAAAATTTGTAATAATAATAATAATAATTAATAATCGTATTATAAACCAAATAATTTATTTACTGTATATTGATGATATCTATCTTATGTACTATTATGTATGCTATATATATATATATATATATAATATATATATATACATATATATAATTTTGTGAGAAGATAAAATACGTGTGAGATATTCGTTTCGTAGCTGTTAGTTTGGCTGTTTCTTTTTTTTCTCTCTCTCTCTTACTCTCTCTATCACTCATCATCATCATCATTTTTTTTAATTTTTTTTTTGTGTAAAGTTACTTCCGCCATTACCAGCGGTGGCGCGCGCGGCATCTGTATATAGTGGACCAACCCCCCCGCGCGCGCCCCAAAAACCGCTCTACCTATCCATCTAGTTGCTAAGGTTTTAAACAGAAAACAAACAAACAAACAAACAAAAAAGAAGAACAATCACTAAATACTAATGGCTACGTAAAAAAACAAAACAACAACAAACAAATGATGGAACGGATTAATAATTATATATATATGTATATATATACATGCATCAGCACCAATCCTATATTATTATATAGAGTTATTAATTAATATATTATATATGTGATAAAAAAAAACTGTTTTTATTTTCTTTTTATTTCTTTTTTTCTCTCTTTCTCTCTCTCTCTAGTAGGAAGACGACGATTGAGTTTGTGTATAAACAAACAATCAAGAAAAAAAATAATTATAATAATAATTAACTAATTAATAATGTATAAAGATAAAAAAAAAACCAACAACAACAAATAATTAAGGACAATTTCGTTTTTTTTATTTGTGTTTTACGCCGTATCTCAAGTTCTTGTTCTTTTCCTCAAAAATTGTGAGAGAGGAGAGAAGGACGGACTCATAAATATGTTTCATCGTTATTCATTTATTTACGTGTTGTATCACCCGATCATCATTATTACATTACATATATATATATATATAAAAATACTTTTTTTTGTTTCATTACCGTTTTGTTTTTTTTGCCCTCGGCCGTCTCGACGCGCCTCGTCCGAAGATCGAAGAAATCCAAAATGATGTAAAGTAGTGAAGCCTGAATAGACTGAAAGGGTGAACCCAATCTTGACCAGAGAAAATTAATTAATTAATTGATATTGGAAACGTACTAAAATTGAAACAAGATTCGGGTTTAGTCCTGATTTCTCGTAATCTTCGCGCGACACGCCACAGCTCGAGGGCTCAATTTGTATATATAAATATAAATAAAAAATAAAAATTTAATTAAAAAAAAAAAATCATCATTGCGACTTTGTACAGTTCGTCGTTTGCTGTTCGCGTCTCCACCGCAAATTCCCTAAAAGATTGGAAAAGAAGACGATTCTCTCATATATTGTAATATAAAGTGGAAAAAAGAAAAAAAAAACATTTCTGTAACCGAAAGATGAATCTATGTAAGATGATTTTTGTTTTTTTTTTTGTGAATTTGTTTCTCTTTTTTGTTTTTTTTGGAGGCCGTCACAATATGAACCTGTCTGGTGATATATTTAATGTAAAAAATATATATATATAAACATACAAAATCTACTTATTCTCTCGCTTATTTCTACAACATCCTTGCAAACGTTATCCAATTAGTGTATTAATAAGTAAACGTAAGTATCTTTACGATATTGATTCATAATAACCATGGTTACGGTAAGTTATTTGGCGTATTCATGGGTCACTCGATTGTAATTATAAATTATATATATAAAATGTCAAGAAATTCAGTTTACTTAATGACTAAATGTGGTAATCTATTCATACTAGTAACTAATTTATTTAGTTTTCATTGATCGTCTGAGTTGGTGGTGGTGTAGGTCACGGGGTTCAGTTGTCTGAAGGGCGTTTCGCAAATAAAAAGATTGTTTTATAGAATGAAATTGGTCGAGGGCAGGGAATATCCGTCCTTTTGTAACATTTAACAAATACAACATAAATTATTAAAAGCATTGTTGCTCTATCAATTACGATGACGTGACGAGCGCTCAGGGGTCAGAGCGGATCCAAGGTCTCTATCACTCTCTGTGTATGCTCGTCCATAATTATAATCTCGCAAATAGAACTCTTTTTCTCCTCTCGTTCAACCGTCTGCGTTCTTTGTGCGCTCTCTCGGTTCGATGTACCAGAAGGGCTGTATCTGCTGCAGCAGCAGTTAGTTTTCAGATTTAGCAGGACAGGAGGCGAGAAAAACTTTCCTTTCCCCGTTCGATTTTTTACATTGTACCGAGCGAGCGAGAGGTGATAACACGCGCGACGACTCATGGGAGTTCATGAATCCTCAAGGCCAAGGTCGACGCTGATACCGACGCCGCCGTATTATCATCATCATCCTTGTTTACTCTATTAAAATATTTATTGTGCGCTGCTAACCGCTATTACAATTCGTCAAAGGTTAAATCTTTTCTCTCTCTCTCTCTCTCTTCGCCACAGCTCACCAGATCCGAGAGGTCGCAATTGACGCATCGCACACGGCGACGTCTAACAATTGCGCGTTTGTTTTCCAAAGCCAACTTCCTGCTCTCCTCTTCAGAAGGGAAAAAACGCTCGTTTCGAACCGATCTGATTCTGACCTCACCTCGTCCATTTGATTCCGATTCGATTTGCGGATGAACGCGTGTCCAGGTATTATTGACCTCGCGCGTATAAACGGAGAGCACACTAATTGCATTCGCAACCTTACCCGCTCGCAAAACGAGACGCATTCAAATCGCACTATCTAACACGAAACCATGGAAACCATTTCTTTGAAACATAATTTCAGATGTTTCCAGGCGCACTTTGATTAATCACATCATAATGTACATCTTTTATTAATACATATATAATACATCATTTCTAAATTGCCACATAATTATTCAATTTATTTATTGCTCAATCGAACAAGTAATTATGTTCATATCTTCTCTTCGATTAACATATTTTCAAATCTCTGATTTTACAAACTAATATTAATAACGTTTTATCATTTTATAATATCATTTGCACATAATGATTAAATTTAATTAATATGTGCACATTCTGACTCGAAAGATGCATTGACATCAATGACTTGTTCAAACAGTCAATCGAACAAGTGATTGGTTTTATTATATGCCAATTACAAATGATTCTTTCTTAATCGATGAACTTAATTCAACTTTCATTAACATTTACCTATCAATTTCATTGCATACATCTAATTACAAATCAATTGGAATTTTCATATAAATTATTATTGTTTTTGTAATGTCTAATTGCACCACCAGATGGATGTCATTTTTATCATATTTCGAATTTGACCAGTTGGTAACCCTTAATACGTCGGCGTGGGGTGACGCTCATTTGTCATTCGGTCATTGACGCATCTGCGTGTGCTCCCGTTTAGAATATTCAAAATTATTGTGTAACTCGTGAAAAACCGAGTGAATTCTCTTGCGTTTCACCGAATCCATCATCGGAGAACACAATCCAATTAGATTTTTGCAAATTGAACGGTGAGTAATTTTTTTTTTAAATAGTATTCAAATTTTTTTTTTGCGAATTTGCC